ATATTTTTGTATGCAACAGTGAGTAGGTGGATAAAAGTGAATCCTATTTCTTGAGAAACGTTAATGATTTTATTGTTATTTAGAAAGGTTGAGTAGATTGTAACAGTTGTAATCGCTTTTTTTGTGGATTACTTGATGCGGAGCACTCTTATTCAGACACTACTTCCTGCGGCCCCCCTGATGATTTGAGTTTGAGACCCTTGATCTAATGAATACTTTGGATTTTACCATTTTAATATAAAAGTAATTTATATTGCTTTACAATTTTTTTTAATTAGTATGGTAGGAGAAAATTTGGTAAAAATGGGGATGGGGGGGGGGGCAAAATGAATGCAAAATATTATTTTTTTAAACCGGGTCTCTAAAAATTGTTGTTCTGATCATGGTTCTAAAAGATCGCTTAATTTGTTCTGAAAGGTCGCTTTATTTGCTTTAAAGATGGTTTAGTTTGTTGTTAAAGATTGTTTAGTTAGTTGTTATTGATCGGTTAGTTTGTTCTTAAAGATCGATGAGTTTGTTCATAAAGACAACTTAGTTTGTTCTAAAATATCGCTTAGTTTAATCTTAAAGATCGCTAATTTGTTCTTAAAGATCGCTTAGTTTGTTGTTAAAGATCGTTTAGTTTGTTCTTAAAGATCGCTTAGTTTGTTGTTAAAGTTAAAGATCGTCATGTTTTTGTTAATGATCGCTTTATTTTTTATTAAAGATCGGTTAGTTTGTTCATAAAGATCGCTTAGTTTGTTGTTAAAGATCGCTTAGATTGTTCTTAAAGAGCACTTAATTTGTTTTAAAGATCGTTTAGTTTGTTCTTAAATATCGCTTAGTTTGTTTTAAATTATTTCGCTTTCGCTGAGTATTAGATGATCGAAAACCTGAGTGATGGCCGAAAGTCTAAGTCAATTTCAGCTGAAACCGAAGAAAAACCGAAAGTTAACGTTTCTCTTTCGGCCGAAACCGAAATTAAGCCGAAAGTTAATTTTTCAGTTTCGGCCGAAACCGAAACTTGGCCGAAAGTGATAAAATGGCCACTTTCGGCACCGAAACCGAAATTTGGTCGGTCTCTAGTGGACGCCCATGCTCTCTCTCTGCGCCCCCCCCCCCCCCCCCCCCCCCCCCCCCCCCCCCCCCGAATAAAACTTCTGCGGACGCCTAAGCTGTGATATATAGTTTTATATATCTATAAAACTATAACTATAAAATTTCTTTATTAACACTTTACTTTAAAACTGCAATATAAGTTAGATGTTCTTGATCTATAGTTTTCATTGTACTTATAAATCATTTGAATTTTTATTTTAAAAAAGTAGTTCCCCCACCCCCAATTTTAAAATGCATTTCACCTTTTTTAAGTGATGTGAAACTAAGTCAATCAATGAGTAGGGAGTGCAGAATAGATACAAGTTTGAGAATCGCTGCCCTAAAGGTAATGGGAAGTGTTGACATTCTGTTTTTCCAGTTTCCAGCTCACCTGGAATGCTAAGAAGTAAAGACATAACAGCTGATTGAATATGGGGTACTCCGCTCCACTGGCGTAGAAGGTAAAGGGGGGGGCGGGTTCTATCGTTTGAGGGGCGGCATTTTCGGCCAGCTGCAGTCTTTTTCGTTTGGAAGAGACGGCTAAAATCTCTGCCAGCCCCGGGCGTCACTAAGCCCAGCTACGCCACTGCTCAAGCACTGTAAGTGTACAAAGAAGCCCTTCGGTACCGGGTACAGTTTATCTCGATAACTTGATCTACAGCAACAAGAAAGGAGCCCCTCGCCACATTCAATTAACGGCCCGGCCAGATTTATCAAAAATATACTTTTTCTTCCTCTGTTCAAAAGTAATGTAAGTAATAGCAATGGATTTTTAATAAGTCAAAGTGAAGAGAAAAGATAAACATATTCGGGTATTACAAAAGATGAGTTTTATAGTCTAGTATAATCATGTTGTTTTGTGTGTCAATGACACGATGCACAATGCGGATCGAGAATACATCAATAATCATGTTCACCATTTAATTTTTATTTTTTTTTTGGTTTAAAAGTGTAATGCCGTGTGACCCGCGTCAAGTTAACCATCAAAATGTCCCCCTTAAAACTTAAACTGATTGATTCAAGGCTACCCATTTGATTCGGCTACTGCCTAATGTACATCGGGGGTCAGCCATAGCTCTGCAGTGGCGTAGCGAGGTTGTTTGGCGCCCGGGGACAAGATTCGCGCCCAGGGACAAGATCCATTTTTAGCGCCCCTTTTTCTTTTTTTTCAACTCTCAAACCCATTATTTTCATCAATAAAATAATATCAAAGCACATTTTGGCGCCCCTAACTAGCTGGCGCCCGGGGACATCTGTCCCCCCTGCCCCCACCACGCTACGCCTCTGTAGCTCTGGAAATATTGATGGAATAGTCCTTGGGAGTAATTTAAAGAATCGTCTTAGTAATATAAAGTGAATGGCTCCTGCGTGGTTTCCCCACTCCACGCTCTGTAGAAACAGTTCAATAGATCTATTTGGTCAAGAACAACTTGGTATGCTTTTGATCGAAGCAGTCTTGTAAAGCGTTTTAATTGTGTACAATGGTTTCATTCGTAAACATCCTTTTTCTTATATGTATTGACAGCACAAGACATAAGACAAAAGCTCCCCTATCGTAGAAAACAAAGAAATATTTAGTTGAAAAAATTGAATTTATCTATTCAATAAAAAAAAAAATTAAAAAAGCACTACAAAATACTACAAAGAACACGACCCAAGTCTAAGGCGAGCCCTGGGGGAATTCATAGAAACTTGATACAGTACCTCTACTATTGACTATTGAATTATTTGAATCGTGGTCGGTGCTGTTTGCATATTGCAAGTAAAAACACTTTACTTTTAAGGTACTGATATTTGCCCAGCAACAGCACATTTAGGGAACCAGTTAGGATCAACAGAAACAACAGCACGTTTAGGGAACCAGTGAGGATCAACTGAAACAACAACGCATTTACTTTCAGGGAACCAGTCAGGACAACAGAAACAACAGGACATTTAGGGAACCAGTCAGAAAAAAACAGCAAATTTAGGGAACCAGTTTGGAACAACAGCAGATTAAGGGAACCAGTTTGGATCAACAGCACATTTAGGTAACCATTTGGGAACAACAGAAGCTACACATTTAGTTGATTTAGGGGAAAAGAAACCAGTTACCGGTACACAAAAAAATTGCACCTTGAGGTAATCAATTAAACTGAGAGCTTGGCCAAGCGGAATACCCGGCTGTTATATTAATATCTTAATGAGCTTGGCCAGACGGTATGCCCGGATATTCTATTAATAGATTTCCGCCATTAAAATGCCAAAAACCTATAAAACGCTAAAAATCATACGAATTTTTTTTTTTTTAAAGAAATTTACTTCTTGTCCCAATAGGCCTGTTTGTATAGTCAGAACAGTTAGGAGGGAGGTGTGAACAATAGCAATGCTCTTACTTAGTCCATTCTATTTATGGGTGCTATTTCTCTTAGAACTGTCGCACGTTAATACCATAGCGAGTAAAAGGGTGGGCGACATACAAAAAAAACAACAACCAAACAAACAATGCAATAGTATTCTTATCGAAACAATAGTGTTGATATACAAGTGTTTAAATACTGTTTATCGTGTTTAAACACTGTATACGTTGTTTAGTTGTGTGCTTTTTTTCAGGTTTCGCTCATTTCCTTTTATCTAACCTGATTGCATTATCTCCCCTTTATAACCATTATAAACTGTAGATAGCATTGATATAAGTTATCTACTGTAAATATATATGCCGTGTTTTGTTTAAATAAATGTATTATATTGTATGACTTTTTGAACTGTGTGCATTGTCTTAATGAGGTTTTTGTTGATATATATTTTAAGTATACCCAATTAGCGGTCGTAAACCCATCGGTTTGGAGCCTGTGAAGCACAGCACACAAACACACACATACACACACATTAAAAAAACCACACATAAATAAATTTGCTGTAGGAATTTACGCTGATATGACCTCTAAATGAGAGCTTCTTGAAAAATAGAGAAATCGAAGTTTAAATTGATAATAAGAAGAAGGCAGCAAGCACCCTAAAGTTTAAGTCTACAACTTAGCCAATGAAGGCAATCGGGTTTGGCTAGCGTGTAAACAATCACTTACTGAAAGAACTGGTTTTTTTTTTCCTTTATCCATTATTGTAACCTTGTATTTGATTCATCGACCCTCCTCTTTGTTTTCCCCCCGTAACTTTTCCATTGATCGCCTGGTCTCGACTGGATGTGAGTGACGTCAGCATCGCCTGGTCTCGACTGTAGGTGAGTGACGCCATGAATGGTTGGTTGACGTATCAACTTTGTTATAAGAGGACCAAGGCTGTAACTAAGGGCGGAACACTCTTCAATGAGTATCCAGTTTTACTCTTACATTATAGTGAGCACACCAGTTAACCACTCGAGTCCATTTTGTAATTCACATAAACGTATGAAATGTGTAGAGGGAAACGTTGAAACTTTATGTTGTAGAAACTTGTTTTTTTTTAAAAAGGACATTAAAAATAACATATTAAATTCCATTTTTTAAAAAGACTCTATACCAACTGCTACCCAGGATTTATTGAAGAGTCTTCTTATCTCGAAGAATATCAGTACCTCGCTCTAAGAAGACATCCAGGATTTACAATATAACGCATTGTGAAGGATTAATTTATGTGCAGTTTTCAAAATGTTGAATGTGTTCAACTTCATCACGTTTTCTGTATTACTCCCTCATTTTGCACAAGGTTCCATGTTTATAAAAGGGAGTTTATCCAATAAGAAGGAGAGACCGGATATAGGATGTTTAACGCATGTTGGAGTTATCACCCAGGATATCCTGGATTGTGCCAGAGAGTGTCTTCTCGAGGATAAGTGTGAAGGTTTTTGCATGGACGACGATCTCAAATGCTACATCCACTTTCACTGTAAGAAACCAGCTGAGCCGTCAGATGAGGTGACCTACTTTCAGAGGTTGGCGACGCGAGAAGACTGCCTGCATGCCGGAATCTGGCAGCCTCAATCTCAGACCTGCCAGTGCTCCGGGGGACGAGTCGGTCTCCGCTGTGAAAGATTCGCCGAGAGCTGCAAAGAACTGTTTCAAATGGGCTACCCCGCGGGCACCAGAAGACCTTACTTCATCCAGCCACCCGGTCTAGTTTCATTTTTGGCATACTGCGCTAACAATAGTGGTGAAGTAAGGACCGATGTCTTCTTTCACCCAGCAGAAGGTTTGCTTAGTTTCAACCGTTCTTTCATCGATTACGTCACTGGGTTTTACTACAACATCAGCGACTACTGGATCGGATTGGAGAAGGTGTACGTTTTCAATACTCTCACAGGGCTTACTAACATCTGTTTGTTTATTAAGTTCAACGAAAGCGGTTATTTCCAGTTCCTATTCAGGGGAGTGACTATTGGAGATGCAAGCAGCGATTATTCTTTCAACTATACGAGCGTGAGATATATAGAATCTGGAGCACTCGCAAACAATGTGACAGTTTCAAATTGTCTCCCCGAAAGTGGAAAAGCCACGCCATTCTCCGCCCACGACAGAGACAACGATGCTGAGCTGTTGGAAAACTGCGCTGGAAACTCGGGAGCTGGTTGGTGGTTCTCAACGTGTGAGCCTGACCCAGTCTGCAATCCTCTGGGTGTTCCAATTAAGCCTGGAACAGTGAACGTAACAAGGGGGCAGATGATGTTCCCTGGGCTGGACCTGAAGGCTTACGCCAGTCAATTTCAGTACGTCAGAATGTACTTCTTTGAACCTTGGAAATAAATTATGGTATTTTGACGTCATTTTCGGACATCTTTTAAAGTTTAAAGTCTTGTGAAATTAAATAATCAGACTTAGCATGCCTGATATATCAGCTCATGGTGTGTATGACATCGGTTCACGTGAAAGTAAATACAAATTTTGACATATATTTTTTTCTTGAAAAGGTTTACACTTTTTGTATCTTTAGATGTAATAATATAAAGTGAGTATATATATATATATATATATATATATATATATATATATATATATATATATATATATATATATATATAAATATATATATATATTTATATATATATTTATCGATTTTTTTTTATGTTGTGTTTATATATGTATATATATAAGTATATATATTTATTTATATATATATTTATCGTGATGTTTTGATGCTGGGAATAAAAGGGTTAACGCGGGCAATCTAAAGTGAAACAAACAAACTATGAAGAAATTAATACCCTTTTTTCAGGAAATATTCAGAAATCAAACTATAATCATCCATAATATTATTCCGTATTTTTCACGTTGCCTTAATCGCAGCATCCTATTTTTCTCCATATCAAATTTTATAATGGAGCCCTTAAGTAAAAAGCCCCGCATTTACAGGTAGTGCTATTAATGCATGTGGCACCCGTACAGATCGTCATCATCATTCCGATCTAGTGACCATTTGGGAATGTGCCCTTCGGCCATGGTCAAGAAATGACACACTCGCTGCATGTGTAATTTATTGGTGTATAGGCTGTTGGTGCAGATTGGTATTTTATGATAGATGGTTTAGACGTAAGTTCTGAAGTGCTCGGCACTGGAAGAGGTGACGTTTTACCGTCTCATTGGGTTGTTTACAGAGAGTGCACATTGGTGTTTTCTCTGGTTTTATGGGGTCAAGGTAGGGTTTAATTTGTATGTGTCCTGCGCGCAGACAAAATAGTATGACCCATTGGTGTCTTTGGAGGCAACTTATTGGATCTGTCGGGGTCTGGATAGGGCAAGAGGCACTCACAAACATAGACGTACACACACACACATAGACAAACACGCGCACATCAACACATTTTCTCTAGCCATTGACACTGAAATGACATCAACAAGAGAGATTGCTGAACAATAGAGAAATCGAAGTCTAAAGCACCCCAAAGTTTAAGTCTACAACTTAGCCAATGAAGGCAACAGGGTTATGGATTAGCTGTAGAGGACACAATCCCTCAACTGAAAGAAAGTGTTTTTTCCTTTATCCATCGTATCCATTGTATCCTTGCACTTGTTTCATTCATCGATTCTCCCCAACTTTTCTAGTCGTCGCCTAGCCTGGACTTTGAATGGCGTCACTTAAGGTTGACGTATCAACTTTGTTAAAAGTGGACCTTGGCTCTAACTAGGTGGAACACGCTTCAATGGTTATCATTCTTGACTTGTACACTAGAAGTGAGCACAACCATTACCTGCGCATGTGTTGTTTATAATTCATATAAACATATCAAATGTGTAGATGGGAAAATTGGAACTCATTACATGTTTTCGAAACTTCTAAAAAAAGGACTGATTAAAAATTATTATATTCAGCGTGTTTAAACAGTCCATATCCCAAATTTATTGAAGGGTCACCTTTTCAAGAAGACTATCAGGATCACGCTCTAACCTGTTTTCAAGATAGCATCTAGGATCTACAATCGAACGCACAGTAAGAAGAATTTTTTTTCTATTTCTGTACAGTTTTCAAAATGTTGACAGTCTTAAACTTCATAACTTGTTCCGCGCTGCTCCTTCATTTTGCAATAAGTTCTATGTTTATCCAAGGGAGTTTATCCAACATGAAGGAGAGACTGGATATAGGCTGTTTGAAGAATGTTGGAGTTATCCCCCACGATATCCTGGATTGTGCCAGAGAGTGTCTTCTCGAGGATAAGTGTGAAGGTTTTTGGATGGACGACGATCTCAAGTGCTACCTCCACTTTCACTGTAAGCTAAAGGCTGACCCGTCAGATGAGGTGACCTATTTTCAGAGGTTGGCGACGCGAGAACACTGCCTGCATACCGGATCCTGGCAACCTCAATCTCAGACCTGCCAGTGCTCCGGGGGACGAGTCGGTCTCCGCTGTGAAAGATTCGGGGAGAGTTGCAATGAACTGTTTCAAATGGGCTACCCAGCGGGCATCAGAAGACCTTACTTCATCCAGCCATCCGGTGTAGCTCCATTTTTAACACATTGCGCTAAAAATGCTGGTGAAGTAAGGACCGATGTCTTCTTTCACCCAGCAGAAGGTTTGCTTAACTTCAACCGTTCTTTAAGCGATTATGTCACTGGTTTTTACTATAACACCAGCGAATTCTGGATCGGATTGGAGAAGATGTACGTGCTCAATACACTCGGAAGACTTACAAGCATCTGCTTTTATATTGCGTTCAACGAAAGCGGTAATTTCCAGTTCCTATTCAGGGGAGTGACTATTGGAGATGCAAGCAGCGATTATTCTTTCAACTACACGAGCGTGAAATATTCAGACTTTGGCCCACTCGCAAACAATGCGACAATTTCAGATTGTATCCCCAAAAGCGGAAAACCCACGCCATTTTCAGCCCACGACACAGACAACGATGCTGAGCAGATGGAAAACTGCGCTGAAAACTCAGGAGCTGGTTGGTGGTTCTCAACTTGTGACCCTGACCCAGTCTGCAATCCTCTGGGTGCCCCAGTTAAGCCAGGAACAGTTAACGTAACACGGGGGCACATGCTGTTCACTGGGCTGGACTTGAAAGCTTACGCCAGCCAATTTCTGAGCGTCAGAATGTACTTTTTTGAGCCCTGGTGATGACCATCTGATTTCCGCACATGCAAAGTAGGGGGCGGGGTGGGGGTTGGGATTCTTTATAGATGTAATATGGAATAGTCCTACATTTACACATAGCTTAAAATGCACACACTAATTTTCTGGTTCTGGTTGTGTTCGCTGTTGCATCCATATACTTGCATCTGTGCAACGGTTGGGGAAGTGATGTTGCTATTCTAACAGCTCCTAGCAGATGCCAGAGCAGCCTTAATGTTCGGGTGGATTTATATTTTATGAGGTAAGGCTATCTTGTGTGTTATCTAAAAATGGTGTTTTTTTTTATCAGTGACAACACTTTCAGTTCTGCAAGACGTGGCCACATACTTACTTCTAACAGCATTTTTTGTTTTTTGTTTTCAATTTAGGAAAAAAAAATATCCTAGCTTCACTCAAATGATATAACCATAGGTGAAACCTATGTGACCCCTTTCGCAGAAATCGTTTGAACATGTGTCGGATTAAATCGGCGGTTCTCAACACGTGGTACCGACAGAGACGTCCATTGGATAGGGCATGGTGGGACATTTGCCCCCCCCCTCCCCCACACACACCTGAATTTGAAGGTTTTAATCAAATTGCTATTTTCTGTGGCGCCTCCAGTAATTAAAAACTTAAAAAGCCGACCACGTTTTTGCTCCCCCCACCTTTTTTCTGAAAAAAACCCTGATATGACGCCCCTTGGGTATCCGTACCCCTGTGGATACGCCCCGGACCGCTTGGGTGTACGCAAAAATTATATTGATAATCGCGGGAAAAGTCAAAGCAGGTGTGTGTACTATGTATCTAGCACAACATAACAGCAAACTTAATACAGACAATTGTTTTTTTCTGATAAGATGATTAATGAGAACAACGGTATTGTTTGTGTTATGGTTCTATTTCGATAGTTTTATTGATTCACCACGTTCACCCTTTTTTTTTTTAATTTAAAGGGCCAAATATTTTTCTTTCAAATGTTTATTTTTTTAGGATTCTTAAAAACTACCATCCCATCCTTAATGGCGCCACAGCCCATGTAGATCTTTGACCTGCCCCCCCCCCCCACTCCGATTTTGGTCCTTCCACTCAAACCTTCCATCCCATCCTTGTGGCATCACAGCCCGTGTAGGTCTTTGACCTGCCCCCAAGCGCGTCCTTCCACTCAGACCTTCCATCCCATCCTTGTGGCATCACAGCCCGTGTAGGTCTTTGACCTGCCCCCAAGCGCGTCCTTCCACTCAGACCTTCCATCCCACCCCTGTGGCGCCACAGCCCATGTAGGTCTTTGACCTGCCCCCAACCGCGTCCTTCCACTCAGACCTTCCATCCCACCCCTGTGGCGCCACAGTCCATGTAGGTCTTTGACCTGCCCCCAAGCGCGTCCTTCCACTCAGACCTTCCATCCCACCCCTGTGGCGCCACAGTCCATGTAGATCTTTGACCTGCCCCCAACCGCGTCCTTCCACTCAGACCTTCCATCCCATCCCTGTGGCGCCACGCCACAGCCATGTATAGATCTTTGACCTGCCCCCAAGCGCGTCCTTCCACTCAGACCTTCCATCCCATCCCTGTCGCGCCACAGTCCATCTTCTTCTTTCACCTGCCCCCAAGCTCATCCTCACCCCTGTGGCGCCACAGTCCATGTAGATCTTTGACCTGCCCCCAAGCGCATCCTTCCACTCAGACCTTCCATCCCACCCCTGTGGCGCCACAGTCCATGTAGATCTTTGACCTGCCCCCAAGCGCGTCCTTCCACTCAGACCTTCCATCCCATCCCTGTGGCGCCACAGTCCATGTAGATCTTTGACCTGCCCCCAAGCGCGTCCTTCCACTCAGACCTTCCATCCCATCCCTGTGGCGCCACAGTCCATGCAGGCCGATGCTTTTCTTTTCCAATCTTTTCCGTTTTTACCACTCTGTGTGTCAAATAGAAACTGAAATGACTAGTGAGGCTATAAAAATAAAAGCCTGTGACGTCATCATCTTCATCTGATTCATTTGACTACTTCTATACTCTCATTTCTTAATAGTTTTATAGGGATGGCTGGGGGTAAGGGAGGGGTACTCAAAACTGAAAAGTCTGACCAAGGGGGTACTGGAGATAAACAAAAAAAAAAGTAGGGAACCGCTGGATTAAATGATCAGATTCACCGTGCCTTGTATCATGTCTTTGTTCATGACATTGGTGCACATGATAATAAATACATTATTTAATATAGAGTTGGAGCACACAGATGTCAACACATGCCTGTTGTCATGATTATTAATCATGGAGACTAGGGAAAAAATGGATTCTATGTATCTATAGCGGTGTATTGATGCGAGGTATAAATGGATAAATGTTTCTAGTGCAATGTATTGAGACTAGGAATAAATGGGTTCGATGTATCTATAGTGATGTATGGATACTGGGAAAAAAATTGTTTCAATTTAACAATAGTTATGTATTGAGACTAGGAATAAATGGTATCAATGTATTTATAACAATGTATGGAGACTAGGAATAAATGGTGTCAATGTATTTATAACAATGTATGGAGACTAGGAATAAATGGTGTCAATGTATTTATAACAATGTATGGAGAGTATGAAATAAGTGGGTTCAATGTATATCATCTAAAATTCTAAAAGAAAACAAGGAGAATATCAATAACCTCGATTTGTAAAATAATTTTATTCAACGATAAAGATTTTATTCCTCCTTATGTGTGAGTTCATTTTTATGGATATACATATGGCGTATACTAACTAACATAGATTTTCTGGTTAAGGCTTAGGCTTGAGCTTACGCTCTCTAAAACCACAGGCTGGTACAATTAGGCTTGAGCTTACGCTCTCTAAAACCACAGGCTGGTACAATTAGGCTTGAGCTTACGCTCTCTAAAACCACAGGCTGGTACAATTAGGCTTGAGCTTACGCTTTCTAAAACCACAGGCTGGTACAATTAGGCTTGAGCTTACGCTTTCTAAAACCACAGGCTGGTACAATTAGGCTTGAGCTTACGCTCTCTAAAACCACAGGCTGGTACAATTAGGCTTGAGCTTACGCTCTCTAAAACCACAGGCTGGTACAATTAGGCTTGAGCTTACGCTCTCTAAAACCACAGGCTGGTACAATTAGGCTTGAGCTTACGCTCTCTAAAACCACAGGCTGGTACAATTAGGCTTGAGCTTACGCTCTCTAAAACCACAGGCTGGTACAATTAGGCTTGAGCTTACGCTCTCTAAAACCACAGGCTGGTACAATTGCACATCCGCTCCAACCGCTCGGCTGTTCCACATAACTTCGTCTGGGCATCGCACTCTTTTCTCCTGACACTCTGTCCCCCCCCCCAACCCACAGAGGCGTAGCGAGGTTGTTTGGCGCCCGGGGAGAAGATTCGCGCCCGGGGACAAGATCCATTTTAAAACGCCCCTTTTTCTTTTTTCAACTCTTAAACCCATTATTTTCATCAATAAAATAATATCAAAGCACATTTTGGCGCCCCTAACTAGCTGGCGCCCGGGGACATCTGTTCCTCCTGCCCCCCTCGCTACGCCTCTGCCCCCCTCCACTCCAGCCACAATCAACACGACGGCAACATATTTTACTGCCCACCATGAACCAGAAAATGTTATGATATTCTAGTGTATCTAGGTCTATACATAAAGTTAGCCAGACATTTCTAAAAAAAATTGAGCAAAATAGTTATACATTTTTTTTTTTTTTAATGAATGATACCGGATAATGCAAAGCCATTCATCACGGCCAGGAGACTGTCGGTATTCAGTCGGGAGTCTGCCGGTAATCAGTCGGGAGTCTGCCGGTAGTCTGTCGGGAGTCTGCCGATAGTCTGTCGGGAGTCTGTCGGTAGTCTGTCGGGAGTCTGCCGGTAGTCTGTCGGGAGTCTGCCGATAGTCTGTCGGGGGTCCGCCGGGAGTCGGTCGGGGGGCTGTCGGGAGTCTGTCGGGAGTCTGCCGGTAGTCTGTCGGGAGTCTGCCGGTAGTCGGTCGGGAGTCTGTCGGTAGTCTGGAGTTGAGAGCGGAGAGTCAGGACTTATTAGTTGCGAGTGGGAGCAGAGGGTGAGCGGACAATTATTAATTTTGCTATGGTGAGTGGAATTAAAGAGAATAATTTATTGAATTTATGGTCTTATCGCTGAGAGCAGAGAGCTAGCAATCATAAATAAGATGGTCTCTAAAATACAAATGAAGACATACGACTGTCCAGTAAAATCAATTGCAGATAAACGAATGGAAATAATTCCATCCCTCTTCAACCAACATCTCCACCCCCACACCCCAAACCCCAAAAAAAAAACATTAAAAAAATAAATAAATAAATTTATACCAAAATTCGCATTTTTTACATTCCCCAAGTTTCAACTCGGCCACAAATGTTGCTTTAAGTACGGACGACCGCACAGAATTAATATGAATAAATATATAGGTAACCGCCATCAAGAAGATGGGACGAAAACACCAGTCAAGTTTCTCTATGACGCCGTCGTCAGTCTCAGGAGACTTGCAACAAGCAGCACGGGCATGTAAAGCACAACAGCGCTGGGCCTGAGGCATCCGGCACCGCCTCTATGTGATCCCGTCGTATTGGTCCCCACTGGAGCGAATGACGTGGAATCTGGAAAACAGTTAATTTTGTGTGTTTTTTTTTTTTAAATAAAGATTATGTTCTTGATCAGACGATGTGATTTGTGTCATTGGCCGTAACAGAGACTTGGTGATATGCATCAAATACGAACGTAAAACTTATTGATGGCGATGTCTTAAGGTTTCGCCCACGCTCCTGTCTCATTATGGTTAGGTGTAAGTGTAAGCGGCATTGCAACATGTTAAAGGACGAACATTGTGTTTTGTTCCGGTACAAAGTTTTTATGTGTTATAATCAAGTATTTTTG